AGCATCCTCCTTGATTAGAAGTCCTTCTCAGCAATCAGAAGGCTCTTTTCTTCTGCAAATTGACTCCAGGGAAGGGCCTCTGGCTGGATGTCTTAGAAGAATTAAAGATTATTTCTTCTGAGGGTTATGAGGCCAAAAGAGTGGAGATTAGTCTCATCAGATGGTGGCTGGCTTGAGATACAATACCATCTTTCCAGTCTGAGCAGAGCTAACCAGGGCACTACCCTTCTGGGCCTGACATCACGGCGAGGTGCCTCTCTGGAGGGTTGGGAGTGAGGCTGTCTGACCTGTGGCATTGCAGCTTACCTGGACTTTGGAGGGGCCAAGGCTCATGATGGAATTTTTCAGCAACCAGGGTCCTGGACAGTTCCTAATGAGGTCAGGAGTATTGGTTGCAAGGAGCAGAAACCAATTCTGGCTATCTAATGGGAAAACAAGGTTAATTGTAGGGAAGGAACCTGAGGGTTCACCAAATCAACCAGGGGCTCAAGGGCCACAGCTATGGGGACCATCTGGTCTGCTCCTTATGCTGCCACATTCAAACATTCATTCTTCCTTTATCACTAACTCCAGATCCAAAGTTCGGGCAAAAGTCATGTGACCTATACCATGTGACTGCCCTAGATGAAACGGGGAGATGGTAGAGGAAGGTTCAAGAGTTGGTGTAGTGGTTGCTCGTGGAGCTCTCCCTTCAAAAGAATGACCACTGGGCAATTTCCTCAGAAAGAGACATGGGGGGCCACCAGGAGAGGGACACTGAATGTAAGATACTCAAAAGGAAGTCCACTGTAGTTCTATTCTCCTTGAGCAAACAGGCTCTTATGGTGGGTGCCTCAAATGCTCCAAACGACAAGCTTGCCTGCTTGTCAGTGCAGACAGGCTGCTAAGAAGCAGTGAGGGAAATACAGACATAGCTTGGGAGTCAGTTGGTTCAAATTCTGCTACCTTACTCACTCACTTGAGACGTTGGTCAAGTGCAACACCTTGGGTTCTAACTTTTTAATCTGTGAAATGGGGATAAAAATTCAGTAATTCTCATATGATTGTTACAAAGATCAAGGATAATTTAGGAGCTGTGAGCACTGATTGCAACTACATCTCTGACATTTTGGGCACTTTTGGGGGGCATCACAGTGCTTCTCTGAGGCTCAATTTCCCAACCACAAAATGGAAGAGTTCCATTTTGGAAATTTCCATTTTGGAAATTTGGGAGTTCATTGGACTTGATTTTGAGCCCGATGTTCACACTGCAAGCTGCAAGACTCTGGGTGAGTTAGCTGAACTTGAAGTAGCCCAGCTAAGGGGCATGGGGCAAGCACAGACACAGGATAGGTGCTGCTGGTCTAGGGCTGCCATGACAAGGTGCCATAAAGCGAGTGACTTTAGCAACAGTTCTGGAGCCTAAGAAGTCCCAGATCGTGGTACTGACAGGGTTGGCCCCTGCGGAGGGCTCTGAGAGGGAATCCATCCCATGCCTCTCTCCTAGCTTCCGGGTGTTTGATGGCCATTTTTGGCATTCCTTGGCTTGTAGAAACGTCACCTCCATCTCTGCCTTTGTCCCCACATGGTGTTCTATGTGTCATCACGCTGTCTTCTCTTTGTACATGTCTGTCTCTGGCTCCACATTTCCTCTTTTTATAAGGTCAGCAGTCATATTAGATTAGGACCCACTCTAATGACCTCATTTTAATTTGATTATCTCTGTAAAAACCCTATTTCCAAATAAGGCCACATTAAGGGGAAATAGAGGTTAAGACTCCAACATATCTTCTTTTAGGGAAGGGGCCACAATTCAACCTATAAGCAGTGTTGAGCATATATTAGCTTTCCTTCCTCATCAAATCAAATTTCCTTCTCAAATAAGATTAAATACCTGGCACAGAGCAGATCCTCAGTATTTGCTAGATGACTGCATGGGTGGATCTTAGATTCCATGGTGTTCTGAATTCTCTAGGGAATTCTCTACTGACCCAAGAAATATTTGATTTCTCTTTGAATGTGTTCTTTGTTGCTAAAGCCTAAGAAATTGCAAACAGGTCTTTAATTCCTGGAAATGCTTTCCTGTGCCACAAAAAATTAATTAATTATTCTAGCAATGGTTGAAAAACTTCCTTCAGGCATTGGAACAGAGGTCCCAACAATGATTAGTGACTGTAATGTGCAAAGAGAAAGTGGCTGTAGGTAATGGCTCAGGTGGGTTCCCATCACCCTCTGTCCTAGGTACCCACTGAGTCAGAAAGCTATAACCGAATGGGGGAATGCCATCTCTTCTTCTTTACCTTTCAGGTCAGGGGACCTATATATTTTGAGCACTTATGACATGCCAGGAATGTTCCATCAGATACAGCAAAGTGACTCCAAGTCCAAACTCTGGAGTCAGACTCCTGCCATTCACTCCACCACTGACTCACTGTGTGATCTTGAGGAAGTTACTTAACCTCTCTGTGACTCAGCATCCCTGTGGCTAATTTGGGGGTAATAGCACCTACCTTGTAACATATGTGGTAGCATGTAATACACTTCACACTGTGCATTCAAGTCATGTTAATAATTAGTAATTATTGTTATATTGTTGAACACACTGTTGATGCTGAGGCTGATAATGGAGGAGGTGAATTCTAGAGCCCAGTTGTTAATAGACCTCTTTATCAATAGAGTGAATAAAGTAAGATGTGTGTGGCATCCTCCTCCACTTTCTAGGTGAGCAAATGAAGACTCAGAGAAGTTCTGTGACTTCTACCGGTCAGACACTGGTTTCTCCCTCTCACATCCTCTAGTAGTACTGTCTGTCTCCTCCGCTCCCCTCCAGGGTAGCCTGGCTGATATTGGCCCCTGGTACTTTCTGTCCCCATATTGCCGAGGGCCAGAAGGTGGTTGGGACCAGCATGGCTTCATAGGGGCTGGTAATAGCGTCAGGACATTTTTGCCCAGGGGGTTGGAGGCACAGTGGTTGGGGGGCCTATGCTAACACAGCTCTGTGCTGGGGCACCTGGGGCTGGGTGGTAAAAATCTATGGAAAAGCTATCTCATTTTCATTACTCTCTTTTCTTTCTCTTTAGCATAGACAGCAGGTCCTTGAATTCTCTGGCATCTCTGAGCACCTAACCCCTAGAATTCAGAGGCTCCTAAAGTTGGTTTCCTCTTCTCCCTTGCAAGCTCACAAGCAGTGACCAGTTTCCTGGTTGTTTTGGAACTGCACACAAACGAGGCAGGCAGCATGATGGAGCAGAGAGAGCCCTGGAATAATTCCCTGGGGAGTTCTGGTAGTGGTTGGCTGTGCAGCCTTAGGCAGATGAATTTACCTCTCTGGTCCTCCGTCTCCTCATCAGCAAGATGATCTCTCCTTCATAAAACTCTTGGGAAGATTGAGCTAGAAAATTGTATATAGCAGTTAGTGCAGTGCTTGGCACATAGTAAGCAGTCAAACATGCGCCCACCATTATTACGGTACAAATGGTGTTGCCATTAGCAACTGAAACCTTGGTGGACATTTTCTTCTTGGTGAAGAGTCCAGGAACTAGATGGACTGGGAGTGGAGGTGGGTGGGGAGAGAATGTTCTTTCCCTGTTCTCCTGGCAACCATCCTAAACTGCACAAGCCTGAGTGCAGCTCGCGAAATGCCCAGCAGTTCTTGTCATTTACTCATCCTCGGGAGACAGGGTGTTCTGCAGGCCCACTTGGCCTTGGCCTCAGAGTATGAGCACATGCATACCCTCTCCCCACTACACACACACTCAGAGCCCCAGGAGTTAATAAGACCAATAGCATGGGTGTCACAGAGTGGCTCTGTAAGTACCTTATGAGAAAACAAGGAAGGCATCCACATTTCAAAAACAGCTAATTGCATGCATACATATGTACTTATATTTCGACTTTTCTTTCCATGACCCTTGTTTCTGGTTCAGGGGCCCAGTGGTGCCCTCAGCTCCTGGGCTTCAGGGATCTCAGGAATAATACAGTTCAACTGGTTCATTTCGGGGAAAGGGAAATTCAGAGAGGCCAAAGGCCTTGCTCAACAACACACAACCACTAGGCCAGGGTCACCTGCTTTGCTCTAGTGCCAGAGTTCTCTTGTCCCTCCCTGACAAAGGTGCAGTCACCCAAATGAACATCCAACCTGCAACTGTCATCCTGGCAGGAGGAAAAGGGGGGCCAGGGAGGGACAAAGGATTGTGCCCAGTGAGTCCCTTGAGATTTTTCAAGTCTGCTTCTCAGCTATGGGCCCTTTGGAAGAAAGCAAGGTGTCGTCTCCTACCTTCCACTCCTCTGTATCCCCCACAGGTCCCCCCTGGCTGAGGCCTGACTCTGACAACTGCGGAAGATCATCATCTCCAGCGGAAGCCTCTTCTATGTTATGGGGGCAGAAATGGTTGATAGAAGACACAAAAGCCTTTCAGACGACTGTGACTCTTGGGGCAAAGCGGGAAAGGTGGAGTTATCAGAAAGTACCGTTGCATTTATGGGCTTCTTATCTTTATGACAAAAGTACACTTGGAATTGAGATGTAATAGTAAGGGAAGCAACACCCATAAAGATTTGGTTCTGCGGTGTGGGACTGTGCAGCTGATGAATAGTTGGACTTATTATGGGGAGAAGTCCTGGTAACCCTGAGATTCTCTAAGTCAGGTCTCGATGGTGTAGAGCTGGGAAACACCGGAGGTCTGCTGGGAGCAATTCCCAGACCCACCTGCATCCTCTCCACCCCTCCCCGACTCTCCCAACTAAATGTGGGCGTCCTCTGCAGCATCACAAGTGCACTCCTCTGCATGAGTTCTCTCTCTCTCTCTCTCTCTCTTTCTTCATCCCCAGGGACCACTCAGTGGGAGAACCAAATCACTGGACCTTTGACAAGGTGGGATGGGCACCAGTCACGGAGCACAGGACGACTTCCCCTGGGCTCCAACTTCCCGGGAGAGAAAATGTACAACAGCCAGAAATATGAACAAACTGTCCCAAACTCAAAAAACCAAACCAAAACAGAGCAAGAAAACAGAATCAGCTACAGAATTTGCAAAAAAGGAGTCCTCATTCTATTTGTTCTACAATAAAGTCATCAGGCATATAAAGGAAAACCAGAAACATCAGAATAAAAGTAACAGGAGGCCCCCCTTTGCAGCGTTCAAGTAATTTGTGCCTCCTTCCCCATTCCAGACGGTGCAGGTGCTCCATACCGTGGGCAGGCTAAGTCTATCATCCATGTGCATAGTTCTTGACCCAAGATGGCCATTCTGGCTTTGCTTGCAGGTCCAGCTGGCATTTCACCTCCCGAGGGAGCCCGGCAGTTTACAGCCCCTGTCCCTTACCCTGTTCACAGTGAGAGTAACGAGGCCCATGAGGCAGGAGGTGCGGCAGCGGCTGCCTGGCCAGAGCACTCAGGCAATGGAGGAGATCTCACTGTGTTTATGCTCCCTGCACAGGAGAGTCCTTGGGGAGGACCAGCAGCTGCCCTGGCTGCTGGGGTGGCAGCAGAAGACAGTGGACAGCAGCAGGGCCAGTGCGATAATGAAGGTGAGCACCCACTGCATGACCCCCGGGTAGATGAAGGGCAGGATGAGGATAATGAGTAAGACCAGTAGGAGCAGGTGTGCCGCCAGGCGCCGGGCTGCCACGCGGTTGGCATTCACTGCGTCCTGCCCATCCTCTCCTACCAAGCTGGGATTCCCTGCTGCCAACACGACAGGATCCGACAGGACCTGAGGACAGAGCCGCACCTCTGGGCATGGCCTGGTCAGCTGCCTCACCACGGCCTCCTGGTCACGCAGGCTGCAGATGAGGCCCCCAGGGATGGTGGTGGCCTTGCGGCACAGTGGGCAGGTGATGGACCACATGTCATCCCGCACGCACAACAGGAGCTTCAGGCAGACGGCACAGAAGAAGTGCTGGCACCCCAGGAGCTTGGGCAGCCGGGCGCAACTGTAGGGCTCCCTGCACACCAGGCACTCTAGGTCGCCATCTATTAAGCCACAGTGCCCCCCAGCAGGGCTCGTGGTGTTGATGGTGACGGCTCCTGTGGAGAAGGGCTGGGGCTGCTGCGGGACGGGCTGCCGCGGGACCTCAGTGCAGGCCATTCTGGGCACGGGAGCCTGCAGGACACAGCAGCTCAGGGCCTGGGCATCGGCAAGGGGATTTTGGCGGTGCTGCTGGACCTACATGGAGTCTGACCTCAGGCTGAGTGTCTCAAGCCTCCTTTTCCTTCTTGTCAAGTGCCTGGTGACAACAGCTGTCTGGCACCACTCTTCCGGGGCTGCTCAGCTTGTTTCTTGGCTTACGTTGTCCCTTTGGTTATTATGATTTCTTTTCTTGAAACTTAGGGTTAATCAGTAACTCTCAGAACTGGAGACTTTGAGTTGCCTGATAGAAGGGCCAACGGGGGCAGGGCCTGCGGGTGAATCAGGACTTTCCTGTTGGGGCCAGGTGCCTCATGAGTGCCCGTGGGACCATGGCTTGTGAGCTTTGGGGTGTATTAGAATCCCCCCTACCCCGCCACAGCCTTTTAAATGGCAGATGTCTAGGCTCCAAACCCAGAGACTGAGATGCAGCAGGTCTGGATGGGATCTAAGAATCTATCTGCCCAGTTAACAAACACCTCCTAAAGATTTGTCATGACACAGATGGGCCAGGGAACCCCACCTTGAGGAACACTGCTCTAGCCGGGCATCAGACAACCTACCGGATGTCAGGATCAGCAGGAAAGTTTGTGCTCTCAGCACATTTGCAAGTAGGTGGCCTCATGAAGAAGAGAGAAGAGACGGGAAAAGTATTTTGAGTAGAGGGGAAGAAAGCCCAGCAAAACACAGAAAAAGTCAAAGCCACACAGCCCCTGGGTACTTAGTACCTGCCACTGTAGTGCCATCCTTTGGAGTCAAAGAGTTGTGTTAATAGTTGCCAACTCCCAAGCTTCTCTTTGGCACCCCGCCATGCACCTCACATACCCGATATGGGCAAACCTTGGAGATTTTACAGGTTCTGTTCCAGACCACCCAATAATGTGAGTATCTCAGTAAGGCAAGTCATATGAGTTTGTGGGTTCCCCAGTGCATACAAAAGTTATGTGTACTCTATACTATACTTTGTTAGGTGTGTCATAGCATCAAGTCTTAAAAAACGTATAAATATTTGATGGCTAAAAAATGAAAACATTTGAAATATTATGAGAATTACCAAAACGTGACACAGACACGAAATGAGCAAACGCTGTTGGAAAAACGGTACCAATAGACTTGCTTGACACAGCGTTGCCATAACGTTTCAATCTGTAAAAGAATACAATTTCTACCAAGTGCAATAAAATGAGGTATGCCTGTAATGGGTGCCATGTGTGGTATGCTAGAAATACTGTGTGCCCAAGTTGTAGGAACAGCTGCCAGTTATCTGGGCCTACTTTTGAGCCAAGCCCCTGGCCAGAGGTCCTCCTCTGCATTCTCCCAGAGTCCTGGCAGAGTGATGTACAGAAGGCACTGCCGAGGCCTGGAAGCGAAGGCAGGGTGTTGTCAGAGCAGGCCTGCTGGCTGCCTGCCAAGGGGACTTCCACGGTGCCAGGACCTTGTGGAATCTACAGCGTCCAAGGTCGGGTTCCCAGCCTCATGGGTCCATGAGTTCATTCAATCTTGTTGGTTTGTTTGGAGGCAACTGACCTCCTGGTAGACAACTCAAGCTAACAGGACCCATGCAAGGCTGACAGATGCAAACAACATGGCAGATAAGAAAATGTGATCCCCTTGCCTTGCTCTGAACATCAGAGGGCGGGGTGGCACCACCCACTTCCTCAAAAATTGCCTCCCCCCCGTGCCACGTCAAATCCAGAAGGACATGCTGAGCAGTGCTTTGCTGCTCATGGCGCCTGTTGGTGTCTGCACAGTCCAGCTCTTCGGATTCTTCTCTCTCTCCTACCCCCAGGGGCACTGCTCTCTTGGTTCACCTTCCCCCTGGGCCTTTTGTGTCTGGAATCCAATTCCCCTCCCTCTGCCCCCCACCATCACATTTTTTTCTCCTCAGCCTTCATCTTGACAATCAGTTCCTTCTTCCCATTCTGTTTTCCCCCAGGGCAACGGAAGGGGTCCTTAGATCCAGCACTGGGCATCTGTTTCTCCTTATGCAGCGACTGGTTCACACATAGGCATGTGATAGGCCAGGCCAAGCCAAGCCAACGAGATTCAGTTCTGGGACTTCTGTTGAAATTACTGAGAACTTTCTTTGATTGCTGGCTCCAAGTTAGAGGATGGAACCGTGGATGGTCACTGCCACAGGACCACAGTGTGCAAAGAACCTGCCTGAGAGTGAGGCCAACACAAGAGAAAGATGAGAAGAGAATTAGAAAAAGCCCTGATGACATTGTTTGAATGTCTGGATCCCACCATGCCTCTGTCTTTGGATTTTTTTGATTATGTCAACCAAAAAATCCACCCCCCTTTTTATTCTTGCGCCAGCTCAAGTTGGATTTCTGTCCCTTGCAAGGGAAAGACTTCTGAATAACACAGCAACACATGAAGAAAAGAAGCCTTTATCTGCTGTCTGACACAGGGCCAAGCATCGACAAGACAATCAGCCTGTACACGTCCAAGAGTGAACTGATGCCTGGGTGTTTTCTAAGCTAAAAGAGACTCTTTTCTCTGCTTTGACTCACATTATATATGTGTTCACTTGTGTTTGCTGGACTCTCGGAAGGGCTGGGGACAAGAGGAGAAAAAAATATGTAGAGCTGCCTTCATTTATAATGAGATAGAGAAAACTGGGTGGACAACACAGTGCAGTCAGCTTGGCCAATGGCCCCTCTCTCTGCCAGCCAGCTCCACGCGAAGCCAAGTAATCAGGAAGGCAGCTGGGTGAGGTCCCCAGCAGACCAAGGGAAGCTATTTGGGGTCAGCGTCTAAAGAGTAACCTTTTGATCTTGTTGGGCAACCACCATTAAGAAAATATATTGGCTATAACAACACAAATATTACAGAAATACATAAAGTAGAGTGTGCAGGTTCCTTTGACTACTGCCCCTGTGGATGATGGCTTTTAACAGCGTATCCCTTCTTGTTGTCCCCATCCCACCATCTCGGCCTGCGAGCCACTTTGTTTCTCAAAGGTGCCTTGGCTCGGCCAGCATCCTCACTGACTTTGTAGGTGGCCATCCAGCTCCTGTCGCTTTGGCTGTGTGACCTTAGGCAAGTCATTTCAACTTCCTTGAGGCTCCGTTTTTCATTTGATAAAAATGGAGACAATAATACTGTAGGAAATTACGACAGAGAACTTAAGCATCCCCCCCCTTCCCTCATCTAACCCTGCTCGCAGGAGACTCAGTATTTATGCACCTTGCTTTGAAGCTGAACTCAGTGTAGTTCATCTTCCCCAGGGACAGGGAGATATGACACTTTGGTGATCTGTTCAGCCAGTGCTTCTCACAGAGAAGTGGATGTGGGCAGGATCTGGAGCTTAGCCTGCAGTGGCTCTATCCCAGGGCAAGTACAACATGTCCCTGTCTTAAGATGTTCGATTCATCTACATTTCTCATTCTACTCTGGGTTTTGTATTTGTGCTTACTTGATATTAGAATTCAAAAACTTGAGTCCTTCCACATTTTCAAATAAAAGAATTTTTAATTGCTGTACAAATATGAACTCATTAATTTTCAGTAACCTCTTTTTCTTCCTGGGAAAGGCAGTTTCTTCCATCCATTGGCTTCATACCCCGAGGTTATAAGGAGTTTGAGAAGCACAGGCTCAAGCGAGGTTAGAATTTCACAGCCCACTGCGAGTAGGGAGGCCAGAGCCAGTCCCCTGGACCACCTCAGCACATGCGTGCAGGTAACCATAGACCCACGCCCTACACAGACATTTTTCATCTGAGCTTTAGGCCCTGTCTCAAGTTCACCAGGAGGAGCGGTGAAAGAACAGTGACGTCATGAGGTCAAATGGTCTGATCCCTGCCTGGCCTATGATCTTGGCCAATCTGCCTTCACTCCACATTCCAGTGGCCTCAGAAAGCCTGTCCCAGCCAGACACCCATCACCTCACACCGCCCTGGGCTGGCTGGTATCTTAGTTCACACTCTTATTCCAGAATTCCTGTCTCTGTGGCCCTCAGAACCTGGCTAGCCGTGCCTCCATCCCCCGCAAAGCATCTGCGTCATGGAGGAGACAGAGGAAGAGGATTTGGAACCAGAATAACAACAACAGGATAATGAAGATCAAGATGAAGGGGGAGAAATGAAGCCAGGGAGAATGTGAGTGCCTCGGGAAGATATTCCAGCTGCAGGAAGTTGCAAATTGCACTTCGTTTTCTTGTTCTGTTTTTAAAAATAAGTATGTCAAAAACTATCCATGTTTATTATTTTAAAAAGAAATGACTGATGAATAAAAAGAAAAAGATATCAGCAATTGGCAATCTCATAGCCCACAGAGAGCCAGTTTTAATTCTGATATCTCCTTTTAGACTTCTTTCTGTGCATACTTAAAAAAAAAACCACCATTTTCCATTAAAATGAGACTCTGCTCTTTATATTTAGCTAACCTGTATTTTGACTTGCCAGCTCATCATATATCTCTTTCCATATCAATACATACATTTCAAATCATTGGTGAAGGTTGCATGTATTCTGTCATATGAATGTACCATATTTTAGTTAATTCCCATGAATGGAATATTTAGGTTGTTTCCATTTTCCACCATTATCGGCAGCCCTGTGGTGAGCATTCTTGGATGCCAGCTTTTCGTACTTGGCCGTTTTATAGTTACATTGTGTATATTAACTCTCTCTCAGCCTTTTTGGCTGAGGAGCATCTGGTGGTTCAGGTCCCAGACTCAGATCTATGCTGAGTCATAAATGAGCCTCATGTTAGCCATGGAGGTTGGAACTATCAGCTGATGAGCAATAGATGAAATCACTTTTGTCCAACTCAGAATTATCAAAGCGCGTCTCTCCCTGAGGTTACAGAAATCACATAATGAACCCCTGAAGGCCACATTTTCTTTGAAGTTGAAATGATTCTGGCATGCAGACTTATTTCCCACTTCCAGCTTACTTTCCTGTCCCTCCCACCCCTTATCTCTCTGGCTAGCTTCAGTCCAGACTGCAGCTTGGAATCCTCCACTGGCTTCTGACTGTCTCCTGGGATACATCTAGCATGTCTCTGAGACTCCATTTCCTTAACTGCTCCCTCCACTCCCTGCAGCTGAGCAAGTGGGCATAGGGAACCCCGCCTTTGTACATGAACCAGGCCCCCAGGGGAGCACACCTGGCCCCTCCTTGGTGGAGACGGAGGATCTCACAGGCTGTAAGAGGTTCTGGTCTT